GAGAGGGCCTTCTAACGCTGTGTGCCAGGGAGGGGCGTGCGCAGCTGCGGAGAGGATCTGCTAAGCCTGGGCCCGCTGCCAAGGGTGTGGCACATCTGGCGAGGGGAGGGAGAGAGAACCCACCGAGGCGGCACTCTGGAGAGTCACTTTTTTAAAGGCCACAACAGCCAATGTTATAAAACAAAACCAACTTACCAAGACGAGAGCAAAGGGAAAAGCAGCGAGTCCGGAGCAGGGTAGGCAGCTCCCTTTTGTATGCTCTGAGCTCCCCGAGGGAGCCCTGGTTTCTAGCACGCGAGAGGACCAATGGAAAGCTGATCTTGTTGCCAGGATCCTGGTTGCAACCTACCTCCCTGCCCATTGCTCTCCAGATGTTGCTTGAACTCAGATCTGAATTCTCCTGCACCTGCTCTTGTGATGGCCCAGGCATGCGGGTCAGATGGGCAGCCCCCACACCCGCTGCCCAGGTGAGCCTCTGACTTGTCCCGTTCTCAGTTACACCGGTGTCAATCCAGAGTGGCTCCACTGAAGTCAAAGGAGTGACTCCGGATTCACTCAGCAGAAGCCAGTCCCTGGTGTGCAGCGACTCGGGCGACGCCTCTCGCTAACAGCGCCTGGGGGGACAATCCCTCCCAGGCCCAGGCGTGGAGCTGCCCGTTTATATGGGCACAGGCTGGGCCTAGGGCTAACGGAAACAACAAGGGCACTATCGCCCACTTCCTCGGCAGCAGCTGCTGCCTGGCACCTGCACCTGTGGTGACAGGGGATTTCCTGGTGAGCAGGATGCACAGGCGGGCGGGGGACCTGTCGCTTAGCAGCCGGAGGCTGGGAGCAAGTTTGGGACGAGCTCCAGCGATGAAGGTTGCTGGACGATGCAAAGGGCCGTGGCAAGAAGGGAAGAGCAGAGAGAGAATTGGAAGGTTAAGGGAGGAAATAAGGGGGGGCAATAACAGATTTGGGGGGCAGGGGCTCAGTGCAGAGTCGAGCTCAAAGAATTCGTGGTCGTCCGATCGCTAGGGAGGAGCAAGACGTATTGCATGGGGAAGACCTACTAAAGGCCGTTCCATCGCTCACGGTTCCCGTGTCCTCTCTCTGCTCCCGCCACGCTCAGGCTCTGTTGCAGAGCCAGCCCGGGTGATCAGCACCCGGGGGTGAGACGCCTCGGTGCCAGGCCCTGCCCCAGCGGCCGTGTCCTCACTGGGGCTGCGCTCTCCTGCGGGTGCCGCCAGCCCGGCCAGAACCTCGGGGGCCGCATCCCGTGCTAAGTGGAGCCGCTCTGATCCTTTCCCAAGGGATTGTGGGAGAAGTTGTCTGTCCTACTGGGCGCAGGACAGGGGGGCTTGTGGGAAGGTATTGGAGGACTATCAGCAGGCCAGTGGCTTAACCTGCAGTTGCCACCCCGAGTGGAAGGAGAGCCTGGGCTTGGACTCAGCTAGCCAGCTAGCCCAGAGTGCAAGCACCACGGAAGTGAGGGGCGAGGGTGAGAGCTTGGGGTAACTCTGCCGTGAAGACAGACCCTCAGGGCCCGGTTCACTGCTGTCCTGCAGCTGCCGTCATTTGCAGCAGTGGGCGTGAGACTGCCAGGTCGGCACGGTGACTTGCACACCCACTTGTGAGCACTGGTGCAAATGACGGCAGGAGGCACAGAACAATGGTGAGCCCGCCCTGGGTGTGTAACAGAGGGGGCGGGGGGCTCCCAGCCTGTCCTGACTGCGACGGGACTCAAAGGGTGTCATGTGATCTGGGAGGTGGGCAGATGGCTCTGGATAGAATAACCAAGCCTTTGTGCTTGGCGTGCATTGCAAATGCACAGTAATCACGACGGGCGTCTGTCCCTGCCGCCTGGCTCAGGCAGGACACGTCCGCGCCGCATTGCCAGCTCCTGCAACCTGACCAGGAGACTTGTGATTTGGGGCAGGGTTTCTTAAAGCCATGAGCTGCTGGAATCATGTGATCACCTGCGAATCCCAGCTTCCACCTACAGCACAATCAGGTGTCTAGCCCGCCTGGCTGCA